TGGTGTCGTTTAGAAGTCGGTAGTCCTCGCCGTTTGATAAAGTAATCAACCTGTCTAGCTGTCTGACCACCATCGAATTTGCTGGTTTTGGTAGTTCGGAACTGGGTTTTGTTGAGATATTGTTCATCTCCTCCGGACGTGGAGCTCGATGCCGTTGTCAAGGTGGCACAAGTCTTGCTGGATGACTCAAATATTTTCTTTTCCACAGCCTTCATCCAGTTCCAAGCTAATTTTTCCGTGGGTGTTTCTGGGAACTTCAAACCATCCTCCGCAGATCGCTTCACGTATTCCTTTGCTAGGCCGATACAATTGTCCTCCCACAATTTTTTTGTGAAGTGAATTTTCCAAAACCCTTGCACATTTAAATACACCGAGCTATGCAGCTCCTTCCGAAGCAATATTTTTAATTTTTCCATTTTCTGTTCTGTACAAGCTTGAGTAGTACCAGCACGCCTGAAAACTGATTTAGCATCTAAACTTTCCTCCTTTTTTTCTTGGGATTTGAAAATCGACTCAAGCGTATCAGCAAACTGTAAAAGAGATTTCCACACCTCAATGTCTGTCGCGTTTGTTAGGATTAGTGACGCCAGGGGTTCGAATAGGACCAAGTCAAATGTGGCAGATTTCATCCGGTGCCGGATGATTTTGAGTCTAGCCTCTATATTATGATTATATTGCGGGACCAATTGTACATCGCTGACATAGGTCGAAAAGCCGTCTATCAAGTTTTTTACAGGATTTTTTGCAAGGTATCTCTCTATTTGAGTAGTAAGTGACATTATGTTCTGAAGATGGAGGGTCGAATTTGGGAGTGAAACTAAGAATATCTTAATAGTAATGACAGAATGCTTTGTCAATCTCGATTAATGAAAACTGGGTGGATTTATATATTTAGATAAACCTTCGTTGCAGTGCGTTTTCTTTATCACACTGAGCGAGTGACGAAGACATGTTACTAATTTAAGCTTTTCCCAATATCAAGGTTCTTTTTTTTGTATCAGATTTTAATTGTGTATGCAGCTATCTAGCTATGACACAATATCAAAGAAAAGTACAGAAAAGATGACTCAATTTACAAGAGGAGCACTCATGCCTCGGATTTCATTTGCAGGTACCACTGCGAACTTATGGCGGCTTTTTCTTCACCCCAAGTCAACCCTCATCCGTGAATACCCACCCAGGGGAACATCTCAAAAACCCTGAGTTGTCCAGACATGCCTCCGTCATCCATCAACTTTTCTCCGCGCGATGTGTGATCGGAGATGTCTCCTTCCCAAGTGGAGTAGGTGCCCAGGCTACTCAAACCATACCGGAGAATACCACAAGGAGGCGGACCACAACACCTTCCATCGTTTGCTTGTGTTTATAGTGTCAGCTGCACTCTCGCAAGCGAAGTCTAAGCGCGCAAAAAGCTGAATTCGTAAAACTCCTTGCCAAAATTCAAAATTTCACGCCCTTCGAGGTTATATCCTTCCTTTGCATCATCTTGTCAACTTTTCCTGATTCCTCTCACATCCATCCCAAAGAACTGTCTCCCAGATTTGTGCTCCACGCTTTGCTTCCTCCGGCGGGTGTAAATATCGGCATGGGTGTGTTTTGGTGGTCAACTGAGACCAGAGTAGGTCGAAGAGAGGTGTAGTCATTGAGATGAGGATGTACTTGGTCGTACTTGTAGGCTTGATGAGACTTAGGTAGAAGTCAAACTCGTTGTGAGCGAAAAAACGATGTAGTGGAGTAATTTGAATCATTGCCTTGTGGGCCAACTTCTTTGATATTGCTAAATTTGACTGAACTTGGCTCTGGGATATTACTTCACTCCCATGTTCGTAGAGGACACCGCGTACAGGTGTTCAGTCTTGCCCTCCTACTTTTGGTGAGTACTCACAACAAAGAGATAATATTTTTTCAAATCATTTAATATGTATTCAGCTATTTAGCTATAACACATGATCAATGCTATGTGTACATGTTGGTTGTCTTTTTATGTTAGAGACACTCATACTCTGGATTCCACTCACAAATATCATTATGGTGTATGCTTACTTACACAAACAGTCGACCCTCTTCCGTACATACTCAGCGAAGGTAAATTCAGAAACCCTGGGTTATCCACGCATACAAGCGTCGCGACAAATGTGGTTGTGTTTTGCCGCATTCTAGCTAGCGGTCTCCTATCGCAACTGTTGTTGTCCAAGCGCTCCAGACTCTGCGGGTTGGATGGTGCAGTGGTACACCATCCAGGCTATTCTCCTAAGTAGATACTGGGTAGCTTGAACACCTACCCCATGCGAGACAGGAAAAAACTGGTTCGAATCCAGTAAAACCCACACACCACTCTCTCTCGCGGTGATATCGTACTTGTGGGATGATGAAAGCACACTCGGATAGCCACAGGTTTTTCACGCTTTTCCCTGTGGCGGGTATGCACGGAAGAGGTTATACGCCGTGAGGGTTAACCTCGAGTGGTATCTGCAAATGAAATCTGAGTGTGAGTGTTCTAATCGTCAAATTGAGTCATCCTACTTAAAGTACATATCTTCCGATAAAACCTGCATGGGCTTCAAGGCGCCAAATCAGGTGAAATGAATTACATATATATCCAGACTCTGCTTGGCAGACTGGCCAACACAATGTACCACCGCACCATTAGAGTGTAGCTGTGTTTATAGTGTCGCAAACAAAGCCTTGGGACGCACAAAGCTCAATTTATAAAACTCCTTATCAAACTTCCAAAATTCACACCCGTCAAGATATTATCCTTCCTCTGCATTATCTTATTAACTTGTACTAATACCTCTTTCTTCCATCCCAAATAACCATCTCACAGATTTGTGAGCCACGCATTGTTTACTAGAAGGGGTTTACAGAACTTGTTCCTCACTGTCCCCGAGAGAACAAATCAGATTTATAATAGTTATATAAATCAAACATAGTTAATCATGTAGATTCTAGAAGTCTTCCATAGTCATAGACTCAGATAGGACTTGAACAGAATCTAATATAATCTATACTACGACAGGCAAGCATATTCTTGTGTACGTGTTTTTGGAGGCCATTTGAGGCCAGAGACTGATCTGAAGAGAGAAGTGGTTGTTGAAGGAAGTAATTGCGGACTTAATGAAGCTTTGTCCAAAATTGACCTTGTTGGGAGTGAGATGTTGACTTGGTGGGGAGTGGTGGATCATTGCCCCGTGGGCCAACATGTTCGAATGCGAAATTTGACTAAGCTTAGCTCTGGAAGTATATTTCTTCCAGATTCGAAATTGACACTGCATACAGGTGTCCAGTCTTTTCTGTCCTAGACTATTTTCGTTGCGGCGCAGTGTAACCACAATTTTGAGCCTCTCAGGCAAGAGGATTACATATAAGGGTACCGTGACCAATGATTTTTGCGTAATTATTTTTCCCCTCCAATTCTCCCGGGCCTCGTAGGCCGATCATGCAGTTTGATTTGGAAAGTAAGGCTTCATTGCCCGCGTCACGCCCAATGGGTGTATGTATTTTTGGAGAAGTCAATGGTATCTAATCAATTATTTACACGTGTCATATTCCTGTCCATCTTTACCAATCCCCGCACTGGCATAAACACAATGCATTCCACTCGCGCACTGTCATCCTGGTTATCAGCACGAGAAACAATCATACGGTATGTATGGATCGATAAGAGAGACACGCTTACGCGTAACGAAAGAGCACAGGAGCACTGAACAAGGTGTGGCCTGGGTCAGCGAGGAGCCTGATTTGCTACGTGGTCTATGGCTCAAGGTGTACACTGAACACCAACACGTCACCCCCAATCACCGAAGCAAACGTGGTGAATCATACCTGAAGTTCCTGTGGCACTGTCCAAAATGTTAGCCTTGGCGTCCACAAACGCCCCAGAGCTGAAAATCTCTCGAAAGCGTCATTCTCAAGTATGCACATTAATGATCCCTTCTCACATTCCACACCTCCAATGCTTTATCTGGGTCGTGTTATACAGCGCCATTAGAGCATCGGTCTCCACATGTTGTGTTTTGGATTGTGCTACTACTATTGAGACTAAGACCAACTAGCAAGTTGGGCACCCATCTAACACAGGCCAAATCTTGTACATTGCTCCTATCATATTTCGTTACGAGTATGAGACTTTTGGTATCATTCGCCCGATTAACAGTCTCTGGTTCCAGGTCACGGGAATTGCGTTGAGAAGATCGGTGGGCTTCACCATACGTACTCGTTATAACGCGTGCTTGTAACTTTAAGACATTTCCGTTGGGATCATAGAGACAATCGATCTTTGGACTTTTTGAACGTAACAGGTAACCTGTAAACGAATATTGCAAACGTGTCTTGGGCTCAGAGTCTGACATGATCCTCATGCCTCATGGCGCTAGCCTTTAAGCTCAGTAATCTTCCGTAAAATCTATCCTCCATTTTTGTGGAGTTTCCTAGTCAAGAAAGTAAACGAGGTACCCACAATTCTGCGTGCGCGGGTAAATCCTCAAAATACCTGCAGCCCCAGTCAGGTCGAGGTGAGACACAGGAGCCACATGTGGTGCGCACACCCAACTATATATCCCTTCTTTGTAACAACGAAGGCCAACATCATCCAATCCACCATCGCCGTATCGGGTGCTAGACAAACCCCGGAAACGTATTGGATAGTTTCTGTTTTACAACCAAGAAAAGTAAGTGGATGATAGGTAAGAATCTATTTCTTTCTTCTGATCTGACGGTGGTTAGCTTCATGATAATATTGCTATGGATTTGTGCTGAGAGATGAAGACGATACAGACCGCGAGAGTGTTTGAGATCCCTGATCGAAGTGAGGAGGAAGGTGTCATTCAACCTCGGAACTGCATACTCTACAATGAGGCCTGGAGAGTATTAGGTGACACCAGTGACAGGCGTTGACCTTTTGACCCCTGACTTAAGTTTTCGACTGCCTATTTATATGGTGTAAACTGTCTATCCGATATCATCCGAAAATCAACCTTCAGTACTTTTCAATCACAAATATGCTTTCCAGACACTTTGACCCCGTTATGTCTCTCCCCTTAGAGGTAGTTGGGATGATCTTTGAGTATTTAACTATGCGTGAACGAGTGTAAGAGTTCAAGCCCTTCCAACTGTACATAACTAATTATTTTGTAGACTTTGTCTTGCTGTGAGTAAAAGCTGGAACATCTTGCTAGAGTCCGCGAGGTCTTTGTGGACTACAGTGTACACAACCCGTGAATGCCAGCCCATTCCATTAAAGGCACTGAAAGAGTATCTCAGACGCTCTCGATTTACAGTAGATAGCGCCTTAATCCATCGAATATCATTCGCAGATATACCAAATATGGAATATCTTATGGACAAATGTCACGGGTTGAGGGACCTAAGTATCTATGGCGATGGATCTTTTTGTCAGTCATTAGGAACCAATCTAGCTTCAGCCAAAGGGATTCAAAAGCTGCACTTGTCCCAAAAGACTCCGGTATCTGTTCCAACTATGATCATGGCACTCAACGCTTGTCGGAATACAATACGAGAGGCAAAACTTTTGTGCGTCACTGGGAATAATGGCGAATCTATCGCTTCATGGCCTGAAATGAATTCTCTAACCCGTATCCATCTGGACTTTTGCAACAACGGCTATATTAAAATTGTGAGTTTGATTTGTCGTTCATGGCTCACTACCAAAACTCTGGATGCAAGCCTTGAACCGATCCACATCTATCAACCCGCATTTAATTGCATACAAAATTACAACTTTGCTAATTTCATACTCAGTTAGGTTTAATTCAAGTCACTCCTAATATCTGTTCTGCCGTAATAAATAATTGCCAGTCGCAAGATGATTCTCCGCTCGACTTGACACTCTGGCCTAACCTAGAGACGTTAGACCTCACGGAAACCCAACTTGAATATTTTCCTAAGCTCCCACTGAGTTTAAAGCATCTAGTGCTCGACGGAAGTTGTGATGTATATTACACAGACAAATACGGTATAGACATTTACCCACTTCCACTTTTGGAGACCTTATCCTTTCAATACTGTAGGATTGATGGTCCAAGTATATCCACATTAACTGAGAGCTGTATAAGAGCTAACAACCTCAAAATACTGCTCTTAGGTGGAGTTGAAGGACCTTATCCTTTAGATCATCCATTCAGTGATTTATTCCCCGCATCTGCGACGGTAGAGGAGCTCTCGATGTCTGCCATGGATTTATTGGACGAAGAAGTTATTGAGATAACTAAATTCTATCCAAGTCTGAAGAAAGTTGATCTCTCCTACAATGATATCACTGCAATTACCATCAATGAGCTGGTCAAGATCGGAGTGAAGTCTATCAATATCGATGAATGTTCAAATGTGAACTCTGACACCGTTGAAATGGCAAGGGCAGAAGGCGTGTATGTTTCTCACGAATTTATAGACGACTCGCCCTTTTAAGCTGGGACAATCTAATTGGAAGCCGGTAAACTGTCAAGAAATCAGTTTCACTGAGTTCTTGGACTATCAGAGCTTTTGAAATTTAAACATCAAATGAACTTTATTCCGACCGTTGAATTTTCTGGCTCAGTGGTCAAAAGTAAGTTACCAATCACCACTTGATAGACCGTCATACCATCCCAACAAGATCCAGACCGAAACACATACCTGTATTCTCTATAAATCTGTGGTGAATCATTCGCTCAAGACCGAGTCCAGTCTGTTATCATTTTCCTAATTTTTACTGATTTTTACTGACAACCCGTATGAAGGTGACTAATCTGGATACATAGGACTATGATGGATAACGAAGATTGAGGTAATTTATGATGGGTCAAAGACTGGATTTGCTGGATAGCGACATGGCATGTAGAAAATTTCGGGAAAATACATCAGAAGTGTGTGTCATATTATATACGAACGTGTTGTGCATAGTTAGACCTATCGCTCTCTTACTGGAGCTTAAGCATATGGGGAACCGGACATGATCGGATCAACTTCCGTGATGGTAAAAATATGCATCATACAGTTGGCTGCATTCAGTCAACACTTTTTTTTATCATTCAAGTGTATTCAGCTACGGAGCTATGACACATGACCGGTGCTATGTACACATGTAGGATGGCTCTTTTGACGTTCGAGACACTCATACTCTGGTTTTCATTCGCAAATCCCATTATGAGGTATGCTTGCTTACACAAACAGTCGACCCTCTTCCGTGCATACTCAGCGAAGGTAAATTCAGATACCTTCGGTTATCCAAGCATGCCTTCCTCATCCATGCATACCAGCGCCGCGAGAAAAGTGGTTGTGTTTGCTGGATTTGAACCAGCGATCTACGCCGGCAAAGACGAACTCTTCACCTTCCAGTAGTGCCGGTGTAATTGCTCAGTATGCTCTGCACATCTGGGATAGCCAAGAAGAAATGCATCCAAATCGAAGTCGAAAGCAAACACTTGCATATCTCGATTTGACGACTTTTCAGTCATGCAGCACTCACCATTATCTTCTGAGTCCTCAACCTCTTTCTTATTAAAGTTCTAGGGGGCATCTGGAATGATAGAAGTGAACGTTGGCCGTCAAGTCAATACTGTACGAATCGTAAGATATTGGGGATTTAAGGATCAGAGATAAAAGGTTAGGATCAGTGAGGTTTTGGTTTTACTGAACTTACATTTCAGTAGTTAAAAGTGTTTGGTGTTTAATCTACATCTAATTGTCTATCTATGTTCTACCTCGCTAAGGTAGAAACATTTTGTTCTGATTATGTGATGGAATAACATTCACACCACCGAGATCATTACCAACCGAGACCTCACCAAAGCTGATAGCGATCGAAGATGAGTGGTCTTCGTCTACTCCGCACTGCGTGCAGTTGGGTCTAGCATGTCTAGATTTTAACATTTCTAACCACATATCATCTCGCCTCGACGACCGATAAAGGCGTTACCCCAATTGCAAACAGGAGCTTGCCTCATTTATTACCAGCCATCACTCACTACAAATTTACGACGCTACGTATACCCGCAAGGAGGAAATTAAGTCATAATATACAAAGTTAGGGTCTTGGTTTATGGGGGACTGATGCTCAAATGGGGTTATACATCTTGAGGAAGAACAAGCGGCTGAGATGTTGAGCGAGAGGGGGAACAGGTCTTCGAAGACCATGCTGGGACTGACATTTTCGAGGGGCTTTCAACTTTGGACTATTTGTGGGCACCAGGACCAAGATTTCGGCTACTTAGCCAGGAGGGCTTCTTTTGTCGACGAGTCAACGGTGTTGTAAAAATCTGAGTTCATAACTGCACACACCTTCAGGGGATAACTGTGCACCAGCAAAGTTAACCCCTTAGAGTCTGATCACTATTGCCTCCTGGTCCCTACACACTAACATCAACGTGTTCACTACAATGAGGACACCATTGTAGTTACTCTAGCTATCATAGACAATACCATGTAGAGGAATAAGGGTAGGAACTCCTGTATATAGATAGGGCCTTTTTACTCTCAGTATCTATACATCAATCATCCACAAATACAATTCACCATCAATCAATCATCTTACTCTGTCCAAGTGATCTATTGAATTCTCCCATACCTATCAGTATTCTATTCACAAGGTGACGTCTCCCTATCCATCGCCCCTCAGCCTTTCAATAGGTTATGAGCCCGGGTTCGCCGCTCAAACTGCACCACTCATCATACTAAAGCATCACAAGATATGCCTACCACAGTCACTATCAACGACATCAAGTCCGGCCTCCCGACCCTTCTCGGAGCGTCCAACTTTCGCCGATGGTATAACACTTGGTATGTCTCTTTACGAGGTGCTGGACTATGGTCAGTAGTCGATGATGGGGACAACAAAGAATCACGTCCCTCCCGAGTTAAACGTGAAGGTACGGAGACAATAGAAGACCTACAGTTTAACTATGACAAACGAAATGACTCAGCACATGCTCTACTCGTCTCTGGAGTAACTGAAGACCTCCAAGACCTAGTCAGCTCTGTTGCGGATGAACGAGAATCAGCCCGCGTCGCAATGCGCCTGCTGAAGACAAAATTTGACCATGAGACGACAACTTCAACCCTAAATCTCTTCACCAACTTTCTCGATCTGAAGATGAATGACGGAGATGACTTGTCCACTCATCTGTCCAATTTTGATACATCCTTCCAGCACATCATCTCAAGATGTGCCCAGTCCAAACGACCGGAATCCAAAGCGCTCAAAGATTTCCTATCAGTAGAGCAAGTCCGAACAATGTGCCTCTTTCGATCTCTCCCGCCTTCAATGGAAAACGTTGTCGATAATCTATCAACAAAAGACGGTCTCAAGTATGCCGATATAAGTGCCCACTTGTCTGACCTTATCTCCAAGAAAACTTCGACAATTCCTCCTCCATCCAAGGCATACTTTTCTTCAAACAATTTCGGTAAGGGAAAGGGAAAGAATAAAGGGATCAAAGAGTGCAATTGGTGCAAGAAAAACGGACTTCCCTACAAAGGTCATGAACACAGGGAGTGTCGGAATCTCAAGGAAATGAAGGAATCCTCTAGAGGCCGAGCATCAGAATACACAAGGCCAAGTAACTCGGCGAATGCTGTCAGTAATCCTCATATCACTAACGATCACTGCGGCGCAAGTCATGTCATCAGCGAAAACGCCTTCAGTGCATCGACCTCTCCAGCTCCTTCACACTGGATCCTTGACTCCGGGTGCACAACCCACATGACTTCATGTAAGGACCTTTTCTCTTCAATTAATAGACAAAAAGGTACTGTAACAGTAGCCAGTGGTGTGCAAATCCCTGTCCTCGGCCGCGGAACTATACATCTCGACTTGCTTACTAGTTTCGATAAGAGACTCTCGGCAACACTCGACAATGTCTTATATGTTCCTGACTTAAAAGGTGGAAATTTGATATCCGAAAGTAAACTGGAAAGGAATGGATACGAAATCAAATCGAAAAATGGACAACGTCGTGTACTAAAAGATGGACAAGAATGGATGTATGCTGCTTTGGACAACATGGGACATTTTGTAATCAGGGAGTTTAGCAATTCTACTTTATTTTCTTCTTACATGGACGCGCACTTGTGCTTTGGCCACCCAGGTCAAAATGCCATGCAACATCTTAAGGAGCGATATCCTGACCTGATACCCAAGAAACCAGACCACTTCCATTGCCCTTCATGTATTCTCTCCAAGTCCACCCACGTCTCCCCGAAATCAAGAACCAGTCGATCAGAAAAGCCTTTTGACATAATCCACTCTGACCTCTCCGGAAAGTTTTCAGTCGATTCTCTCGGCGGAAAACGATACTATATTACTTTCATCGACGACTATTCTCGGCATGCTTGGGTCTCCTTTCTTAGAAACAAGAACGACACCTACTCAGCCATCAGAAATTTTGTCCATCGAATCAAGAATCAGTATGGGGTCACCATCAAGAAATTCTTCTCTGATAATGGGGGAGAATATGTTGATGGAAGAGTCGAGAACTTCCTAGGCGAATGTGGCATCGATCTCCTGAAATCTCCTGCATATGAACACGAATCAACCGGTGTTGCAGAACGTTTCAACAGAACAGTTGTCACCAAAGCTCGAACCATGCTTCTTGACTTTCCCAAATTCCTCTGGGCGGAATCAATAGCCACCGCGGTCTACTTGTATAATCGAACACCTCACCGGACTATCGATTACCGATCTCCGCTTGAATTAGTACATAAAACACCTCTACCGACGGTCTCACATCTCCATCACTTTGGCTGCAAGGTCTTCGTTCGTATCCCAGATGAATCCAGACCCAGTGGATCAAAATTGCAGCCACGAGCCATGGAAGGATACTTCGTAGGATATACAAATTCATGCAATATATTTCGAATATATATCCCGAACAAACGGTCAATACAAGTAACTCGACAAGTCCTTTTCCTGCCCAATAAAACAGGGGAAGCAACTCTCGACATACTTCAATCACCAATTGGAGATGAACATTCGGGCCACGCGCCACCCTCTCCTACTCGAACTACCCCATGCGCAACATTCGATACTCCAACTCGTCCCCAAACTCCTGATCCATCAAATTTCCCTGGATCCTTTGTTGATACTCCTGAATTACCACAGCTTCCACAACCAATGACACCACATGAACCCCTGTGTGAGCCAGAAGTTCCTAGAGCGCCTCGTCGGGATCACCGAAAACTCTTGATGAGAAGAGAAACTGCTATCGAGCCCCGACAAGAAGGGCTAGCCTCAGATAATTCGCATGATAATCCGAAAAGAGGAACTAGAGAACGAAGACAAGCTGATCCTGGCCCCGGAATGGTGCCAAACACACAACGGTATCAAGCGCACGCTGTCACTGTGGAACCTAGGACTTATCAGCAGGCTATTCAGGCAAATGATTCGGAATAGTGGAAAAATGCGATCACGGAGGAAATGGACGCCTTACATC